GCTGTGCGTCATCTCAACAGAACTTCAGGAAAACCTGATGTCAAAACCACTTTTGAAGAGGAAACAGCATTTTTTTAAAAATGGAACAGTGTTGAATGCTAACATTGATGTTAAGTTAATGAGTAATCTAAAAATTCTACCAAAGATAATTATAATTTAGTAACGATCTACAGTACTACTGTTCTCTATTAGGAAAACTTTGTGATTATGTTTTGTTCCGTCCAACATCACCTGGATAGCGTCCTCCACCCAAACTGCAATAAGAGCCTCAGTCTCTCCATGCTTTGTCTAAGAGCAGAGCCAGAACTGATATATGTTATTTATTATCATCTAGGTACTGAAAGTGTCAGTCTTTATGTTTGCATTGCCTCAGACATTCCTAGTTATAATTACATAAGGTCAGAGGTCTTTGTGCTACTGCAGGACAGAGCTGACAAACCGGTGACAGCAGATCACCCATTTCGCTCGGAAGTGCTTACAGTAAATGTAGAGTAGCAACAACAGTAACTTCACTACATGTAGTGCTCAGAGTATACATTTGATGTAGGTACACACCAAAATCATTTTCACGATACATAGCTTGGCTATGACAAAGACAACTGGTGCAGCACTATGTCATTTTCGAGGGGGGGACTGGGTACATCCTGGACTAATGTCACCAGTGGTATTCTGTCAACGTACCAACTGAGATTCACTGAGTTCCTGAGAAACACCCATGCTGGAGGGGGAGATGCTTTAGGTAATGGGGCTAGGCAGTTAATTGCATTTGCAATTTAGCAAAATAATTTTCAAATTGCAGAGGCAGTCGGGTTTTAGTCACATTATATTACATTTAATTTTTCATTTCTTTAGGTAGCGGTTATAAACTTTTAGTGGGTCTGCAATCGCACAAAATGGAAGCGAAGATTGTAGGAGTAGGAACTTTTTTTAATGCAAAGATTACAGTAAAGTCCTGCAGCAGCGGACTCATGAAAAACTGAAACCCTGAAATTGAAAGATCTACATGCTTGTGCTTATTGCAAAGGAAAATCGCAATTATAATATTGGTTGAATATAACCACAATTTAGATTGTTGGCAAAATCATTCAGCACTATTGGGTAGGGCTGGGTAAAAAAATCGATTTTGAATCGATTCCTTTATATTTTTGCAAAATCGATGTCTAGGGAATGAGATCGATTAGTTTTATAGTGACGCACGTGACGTTCACATTCAAATGAGCAGGAAAGATGCAATTAGAGTACTTCAAGCCTGCAAATATAGTGAATAGGTTGATTGAAGACATTAACAAATGGGGGTTGACCAGCAAACACCCTGTAGTTGTTACAGATAACGCTGATATAATATGGTTTGTGCAGTGGAGATAATGCAGCTCATGCATGTCTGCTGTGTCCCCACTGTGTCACGTCTGCTTGCTCGAGTGAGGCTTCACTTTTTCACTTTTCACAGACAAGTTTGCAATTTTGAGACAGTTTTGTTCACATCTCAAGTTTAAACTGTCCGAATTACAAGTTTGCACTTTGTGTTTAAGATGACAGGAAAAAATAAAATACATGAGTATTTTGAAACACAGTTGAACCACTTTCAGTATTGTAAAAACAGATCGAATCAAAATTTATAGATTTAGAACTGTATGAATCAAAATCGAATCGATTCAGGGCTATGGCGAAAATACCCAGCCCTACTATTGGGTAATGTATTTATTCTAAACTAAAGGGATAGCTTGGATTATTAAAGTCAGTTAACACTGACTTAAATAATCCTTCTTTAACTTAGCTGAAGCTAAGCTAAGCTGAAGCTAAGTTAAAGAAGTTAAAGAAGAGCCTGATAATAAAAGACTTTGCTCATTGTTTCCGGATTTTACAGGAATCACCACTGAAAGAAAAGCTCTTAGTTATATGGACTGTGTATTTAAAGTATAATGAAGCTAAGCCAATGAGGAGCTTCAATTATTGTGTTTATAAAATTTATACAAAGCATTAACCTTGTCCTTACATTGGAAAATAACAATTTCTATATTTACTTACAATAATTTGATTGAGGTTTAAAAACCCTGGATCCTCTTTATTTACCCCTCTATTACTTTTGAAATAGGTGGAGATGAAGAAAAATTTTTTATAGTTAATATTAGAATGATTAATCATTAGAAAGATTGATACAAAGGGTCAGTAATGGACTATCAGCACTTTATTAGACAGATTTGTTTTTAAGTACAATCCATCCTGTTTCTTTTTTTGTTTATACATGTTGTCTTTTATATAAAATTAGCTAATAGGACTTATTACCAAGTGTATACCTACTTATACTTGCTTAAAATCTGCATCAGCTACCGAAAGATTAAAGATTTCCAGTTCAGCACATGTTATTAATCTACTTTATTCATGACTTTATCTAGGCCATTTAAGCGATTTAATAACAAATAAAGAAAATGCTGTTGAAAATGTTTGTTTCTCTCTTATCCAATGCAGTTTTATATGTTACCTCATCTCCATGAACATAAACCGCTTCTCTTGCTCTTTTTATGTGTTTGTTTTCAGAGTGGCCGGACACCCTCTAGCTCAGAACGAACGCTGCCTACACATGTTTCTACAGGAGGAGATTGTGGACAAGAACTACACCCCATCCAAAATCAGACAAGCCTAAAAAAAAACAACAAAAAAACAAAAACAAAAAAAATGGCTCTGCTTGCCCTGGTCTGGCTTAGCCATTCTGAGTCCAGCTTGGCCCGACAACCCAAAGCTTTCTTCACTGCTTCAAATTTGAGCGACCTTTACTTCCTTCTTGCATTGTCTCATATATTATTTCTTGGCTATTTAATTTTAATCGCTAATCACTCTTATTGATGTTTGAAGTTCTGATTGGAGTCAAGAATCTTGTACACACACTTGTGGTCTAAAGTGATTTATACATATTTTCTTTTTGTCTAAAAATTCCACTAACAAAAATATATTATATATTTATCGTTTAGCCATGTTCTATATATCCCTTTGTATGTTACTTTTGAATAAAACCTCTCTGTATGCCATGCTTGTGTAATGTCCCACACCATTCTGCATCACTGACTGGCACATTGCTCTCCATAACCAGCACCCAAACACACATTAGACGGACCTCGACTTTTAAGCCACATTTGGTTGTTGTCTTAAAAAGGATGCATGTGTGTGTCTGTTCGCATCGTGTCCACCAGCACCTACCCGACGATCACCATGTTTTCTAGCATGCAGTTTTACACAGAGGGAACTGCAGTATTTCTACTGGCAATATGCATTTTGAGATTTGTATACTGCTGTGCCATTTCTTTTGTTTATTTTCAAAAGTTTTCCAATAAAAAAAGGTGAAATGCCTCCACGCTAAAGTGCATTTTGTCATCCACATCATGCTTGCATGTATTGTTATTAATGTGAAATTGTTTCTAGCATTTTAGAAATCTACCTTATCGTTATGAAGAGTTTTAAAAGTGATGGAGGCGTCTGATTGAATAATGCAGAACTCGGACAAGGCTTGTCATCATAATTCATTCAACATTCATAACCAGCTATTTTTATAAAATCAAGTCTAAAATAATTACCTAGGTGTAACATTACTATGAACCTTATACTTGTATAATTTTTTTTTATCATTTATGTGTTGATTTTAATTCCGTTTGAACTTATTTAAGACCTAAAATTTCATTGGTCTCTAAAGATTCCAGTAGCCATCAACACACTCAAATAATTTTGGCTGCATGTTTGTCTGCTCTTATCTGAAATGGTAGAACATGTTCCCTTCGATCACCTGCACTTTAGTAGTAATGCAACGATTTAAATAGGATTGAAGTCTTATAAAGTTCTAGGAGCTTCAGGTTGAAAAGCTTTGTCCTTTTCAGACAAAAAAAGAGTTTGGGTGTTTATTTTTTCATTAAACTTGAAGAACAAGGACTCAGTTTTCAGTCTTCATTAAAATGCACCAGTAACAGATATTCCAGTGATTCCCCCAGCATGATACTACCGTCATGTATTACAGTTAGCACAGTGATTTTTGGCTTAAAGGCCTCATCTTAGTCGCCAATCATATTTCTTGTGATTGTGTCCAAACATTTTATTTTTGTTAAATTTCAGCATAAACCTTTTACTCCTTAAGGGTTTTTTTTTAACAGCAGCTGCAAATGTTGCTTATTCCTGAAAGTATCACCTCTGAAGTATGCACCTCTAAGTCAGCAGACTACTACATCTGTACTGGTCATCACTGCTGTTCTGTGATTTAGTCTTTGTGGTTCTTGCTGTTTTCATTTTTTTTTTCGAAGTGGGGACATGTTGGGAGTCTGACAGTGGGATTGCCTAAAGAACTAATCATTACTTGTTTTAAAATAGAAGCATAACTTTACCTTTGCAATCTAACTTTCAACCCATGACTATGCAAGACCGGAAACTATTTTAATGAGCTATTCCATTTCTGATAAGAACAGGCAAATATCCAGTTAGAAATATGCCAAGAGTCATTTGGATTCTCTTCAACTTGCAGAGAGAAATGCCCAATCATATCCAAGAAGACCCAAAAAGCCTTCTTATTGGGATTACAATTTCACACAGATCTAACTGTGACAAAATTGAGCATGTCACCTTTAAACTGAATCCGGTGCCTCTGGGAACAAGTGGTTCTATTTAGACTTTGAACCCTCTGGACATGATTTTACCTTTTGTCTGTTGGAGAAATTAGCTTTAAATACCAATCTGCACCTACAGTTGGCACCTTAAGTTGTTTTTGTATTTATATTTTTTTAATACAGCAATATTCAGATGTATGTTTGCATATTGACAACAGGTCAAAGGACTAGGTCAAATGGGTTATGTTGCTTTGTACTATTAGGCCACTGAATAAAGAGTGTTTCAGGTCATTAAATAATAATTTGACGCTTAATGGTTGCATGTTTTGTGAAGTTTCTGGCAAATTTAAAGGGACAAAGTCAGTAATCTGCAAGCTCAAAAAGCTTATTCTGATATCTAATGTATGAGAACAGCTGAGCTCAAGCTTTGTCTTTTTTATTCTCTTTGTTACAACTCTAAATAGTTATAACTCAATGTATATACAGCAAACTAAAATCAACACAGGCCACAAAAGAACATTTCCAAGTGCTGAATATTATTTCATCCAATGTTAGTTTGTCTTCACAAAATCAACCTAAACACACATTTCAAAATGTTGCTGCGTCTGAAAACAGGACACTGGCACAAACAGGACAGCAGCCACTGAAATGACATCCTTGAATAATTTTACAGCAACATTTTTTCATCTCAGTCATTTTCCTTTGTGGAGCGGAGACTTTTCATTGTTGCCCCTTTTTGTGCATCTGGTTTCAGCACTGGACAGAGGATCAGCGACTTGGCCCCTCTCTCAGTTTGGGCTTCTTTTTGGTTTCCTCCACTGGGATTGGACACAGCAATTAGAATTTTTTAATTGGTTGTCAAGCTCATTGGTGGTCTCAAAGACACTCGAAAGACATCGTAATGTACAGCATTTCTGTTTCAAATGGACTTGGCAGGTGCTCTTTCAGAGTCTTTAGGCAGCATTTAAATACTGTAAACTGCAGTTTTCAGAACCTAATCCTTAACTATTGCAACTTTAGTGGCAAGCTGGCTCATTTTGAAGTCTTTATTTCAGTGTAAAGCCTATAGGCTTACAGGATATGGTCTAAGTCAGCCTAAAAGATTTCGTCTTCCACAAAACTTGAATCTGCATCTGCTCCACCTACGTTGATTTGATCTTCTCTCTGGACCTAGGTGAATCTCTTAGAGACTTTTACCACGGTTCTGGATGGGTAAAGAGTTCATATATCACTTGATTTGTACATGTCAGAGAGAAGCCTGGTAATAGGAACATTCCCGATGGTCTTTTTGAAGAAGACTTCCTCTATGGTGGAGGGGCTGACGGAGCGGAGTGCCGGGAGAAGGAGGAGCAGCTTCCCGAAGCGGCAGGGCTGAGTTGGGTACCTGAAACAGAGAAAACATCTATATGTTTACCAGGATCCATTTAGCTGATGTCAGGTCTACATAAAGCAAACAATGGTGGGTAGAAACAAATGAATTAGATTCTAACCTGCAGTGCCTCGTAAACCTCTAATCTAATAGTAAATAGATTTCATAGGCCAACACAAAGTAGTGCATAACTTTGTAATAAGTGTAAGAAGATTTTTCATAAATGGATATTCTAAAAGTTTGTAAAGAGTACTTTCTCAAAGTACAATTCAGGTCAACAAATCGTCATCAGATCCACCTTAATGTGTAATTAGAGATCATGTTACTGTGATTTACTTTACAGACATAAACAAAGCTCTTCTGTGAAGACGATAAGAGTTTTGTTAAAGTATCTGTTAACAAACAGAATCATGACCACCACAGTAGAGAGATGACGTCACATTTGAAAGTGAATTATGTTATTAAACTATATTCCCAAGCTTTGAAATTATAATAACGCATTGTTCCGTGTTGAGACAGATAAGAAAAAGAGATTTTTTTTTTTTTTCCTACGAGCCAAGAGACTGAAAGCAACTCCGGAGGAACCTAAAAGGTCCTCTTAACAGGTGTGCAAATTATATAATAGGAATTTTTCGTTTTATACTCCACAAATGTGACTTTATAGAAAAGCCACATTTCTATAAAGACTCTAACCCTGCTGTAGTTTGCCACAAGATAACAAACCATCAACATGAACCTGTTGACTGTGGTCAAATCAAACCATTATGGGTTTAGATGCAAAATGATTTTGTAGTGGAAAATAATACAGAAGGTGAACCTGAAAACATTAATCATACAGGGAAATTTTGATGTAAAAGAACAAAAAGCTGGATGGATCTTAACACCAAGTAGTCCAAAGAATACCCACCAACTCAGGTTGGGGTTTATCATCCATAAGAGCAAACAGCCAATGCTTCTATTAGAGTGGTCCAGCCATAGTCTGGATGTAAATCCAAAGTAAATTCTGCTTAAGAACGTAAACTGTTACTATGACTTTTAATGCAGATTACTGCAACATTTTGCTTCTGATCCCCAAAATCGTTGTTTGAAACTCCTATAAGACCCTCCATACTGTAAGTTAAGCTAAAACTTGGAACAAACCAACTAATGTATTTTAATGTAGATATAAGGTTTCAGTAGTTTTTTTTTATTTGTTTTTACTTGTTTTCATAGAAAAAGTTCAGTTAAATTCAGTAAAAGTACTCGTCAAAGTTAACGATCAGTTCTTCTTGACGTGAGCTTAAAAAAAAAAACTACTTATGTGCATTTTAAACATATCCAATGAAAACAATCCTCTGAATAAAACTGTCCATCCTCTTTGCTAAAGTTCCTTAAAGCAAGTTCAATATAGAAGATAGCTATCAAAAAATATATTTATTTTTTTAAAGACTTTATTCTAAAGTTCGGAGAGCTGAAAAAGTTTAATTTAGCTGGAAAGAGGGAAAATATTCTTGGCCACTGAAAGGTTTCAGTTTCCTGTTTTAGGTGTGCAAATCTGGAAAACGCATAAAGTGAATGTCTTGCTGCTCCAATAATGTGTTAGTGTTAACCATCATGAAACATGCTGGAGGGTGTATTTAGTTGCATCTGTATACTATTATCATATAGATTTCCACTTGCAACAACACAAAATTTTATCCTTTACTGTACATTACTTTGTGTCATCCAGTTTTAACAAAACTGGGTTCTACCAAGATGAATATCTTCATGGAAGACAATACTTTTGCACTACATTTAAAGTTTCTATTTTAAATACCTAGTGTGTATGTAGCTGTTAAGTGTGAGCTGTGCTTCATCTTGTAGAGCAGCGATGGCGCTGGCATTGCGGAAACTCCTTAATTCTGTGCTGCCTTGCGTGGGAACTGCAAAAAAAAAGAAAAAGAAAAGAGGCTGTTTAGGTTTATGAAGCAGATTAACTTGAGACGGATAAGGCTGCAACTATCCACTCTGACTTTGTCAAACAGGTTTATTGGTTAGATTTCTCAGCGAACTGCTAACACACACCTGCTTTGAATGTTACGATGCATTTCAAACAAGCAAACTCTGTAGCGTCAAGGCGCATCTGTCGGAATCTGGTGACCACCTCTTGAAGTGCTTGAATCTCAGAAATGATTTTGTTCATCCGCTGCGACTCTGTGTTTTCTGTGTTCATTCCTATTGATGGAAATGAGTGAAAAGTGTCACAGTGAGGGGGAAAAAAATGCTGCACCACTACAGTCACACAATCTGATTAGGCACTTGTTTTGTTTCTGTAAGCTGCTTGAGTATTTGACCTACCAGAGACAGCAAGAAGAGTCGTGGAGTCCACAGGAATGGCCCACTGAGCAATGCCCAGAACAAACAGTTCCCTCCAGGCATCCTCCAACAGAATCAGCTGGAAAGACAAGGATTGGTTGTAGCATGAATTAACAGACATATATGGAATCTCATCATGAGGAAGGTTTATTTAACAGTGTGCTTTTGCTTATATATCTTTTAGATCTTTGTCATAAAAAATGTTATTGGTGTTTCATAAACATACCAGATACATTCAGTCATTTTTTTTTAGTTATTTCAGCTTCAGAGCACTTCAAGAGCTTAAATGTAGATATAAAAATTGGGATATGAGAGAAATATATATAAATAATTAAGAAATAATAGCATAAAATAATAATAAATATATGTATATATAAACTTAGAGATGAAGCCCTTAACATGTTATTCATATTTATTTCAAGTTTTGAGATAGCTACTGAATTCAAAGCTTACCTGATCAGATAAAGGCAGAGTGGAGAAAGCAGGGACGCTTTTGGCCCACTTGATGCTCATAAAGAGGAGGCGCGCGGCAGACTCGCACACAGACTCCGTGGCTACCTCATACAGGTACATAGGGGTGCCGCTGACCTCATGGGGATACTGCCGAGTGTGAGAAATAAAAACCGCCACGTGTCACAGATCTTGATCAATCACACTTTAGAGAACAGTAAACTACAAAGATCAAATTCCAAGCTCTGGCACCTGATTGTATAATAATGAGTGTTTCTTGTATGGGATTTGGAGAGAAAAACCTAATTGGTGGATTTGTGCTTCTTACAGGATGCTAAATCGGGACAAGAATTTCAGCTTCTAACCTCTGAGAGTGAAAAAAAAAAACACATTCTTATTTGGGGCAACTAAAACAGCCTCATAACACTTGAGTGTATGTTCTATTCATCATCTGTAAATAGACGTCTCTGTGTTAGGAAAAGAGTCTCCATGGTTTAAGGGTTCTAAAGGTTTAGGTCTATTAAAGGAAGCTAAGTCACAGCTTACATTGAAAACATGACAGGAAAACTTTTTAATATCAATGAAAAAAATTCCACAAACGATGCCTTCACATATGTATTCATATCTCAGCAATTTGGGGGAAAAAAAGGAAGGAATATACCTATTAAATATACATGATATAAATACAATTTTTCAAAATACATGCCTGATTGGTCAAACTCATAGACACACTGTTAAGCTTGGACTAAACTTAATTATCATATTCTTATAGGGAAACTCAAACTTGGAATGCTTGATGCAGAGCACTAAAGACCATTGAATTTTAAAAATAGTTATCTCTATTTACAAAACGGATGTGTCTTTAATAGTCTGCTATTCTATGTAGACTTGGGATCTTTTTCCATAAACAACATATTTTCTTTTTTTCGTCTGATACATTTTTTTAATAATTTATAATTGCAAAATCTGATAAATCATACTTAATGTTTTAACATTGTTTTTATTACCTCAACCTGCCAGGAAATGCAAATGGCAATGAGCCTGAATGGCTGAATTTGCATGATGGACTGAATTGGTTATGCTAATTTGTGTCTATTGTCCCTTTTCAATAAATACAGCAAATTAAGCAAAAAATTGAAAGCCATTTTTTATGATGTCACAGTTTTTGAAAATAAATTTTATCCAATAAAAAAAAGGATTGGTGCACGCAGGACGTTTTTAAGGGGTAATCCTGGTATTTTCAGAGTGGCACAACAAAAACAAAAGCCAGATCATTATTTTGGGGGATTTATTCTGTTTTTTTTTTTTGTTTTTTTTTTGTTTTTTGTATGGGGTTGAAACTCCAAAGCAGCACTATATGAAAAAAAAAAATTGTAAATAGTTTAAAAAGCAAATAGTTAAGGCTTATTTTCTCCAGTCCTAATACTAACAAGGGTAATAAATCTTGTCTGGGCCTTTTATGTCTGCTTAACTTTAAAAACAGCTTTAGCAAAACTGTGTCATTTGTTAAAAAACATTTTTCCAGTCTATTTCATTATTCTGTGTTAGGTTCTATATTTCTGGTGGCGTTCCAATTTTTGGTTTAGTTTTTTTTTAGCTTTATATTTTCTAGTCCATGTAGTCATGTTGGTGAGGATTACACAAATAATGTGTTTCAATGAGATTACTGTTAAAATGAATAAATAAATAAAAATAAATAAATAAAGCAGTGGATTTAAAAGTGATCCATAGCTTTTAATTTTTTTTTAATAATTGCAATTAATGTCCATGTAACAACTTAAATAGAAACATCAAACTTTCAGTAGAAAGAATGATATTAAATTGTACCTTAGGTGTGGGTTGTGCCAAACCCACGATGGCCTGTCTTTCTGGCGTGGTGGCCACTGAGCTCATCTCCAGGTTGTGAGGATCCAGCTGCGTAACAGTGGTGAAGAAAGGAGGCCCGGGTAGTGAGGATCCCGGGAAATGGGTCGAAGAGCCGTTCATCTCTTTGTGGCCCCGGAAATAAAGGGCGACTTGTTTGCGGATGGTGGACGTCCGGGGCCCCCTTTCATGCTGGACGGCTGTGAAGTGGGACAGCGAGCATACAGAGTTCAAGGAATAGTTCCTTTAAAAAAAAGGGGAAACAATCTAATCTACTTTCATTGACAGCCTTTGTAAAAAGTGGCTTATTTTATTTTAATCTAAAGTAAAGAACAAAAATACTACCAATAATGAGGTTTTTATTTATTATAGCTTTAAGCAGAGTTTTACGCATGGAGTCTGTTCCCAGGTAATATCCATGACCCAACAGATCCCATCTTTTCCAGCAAGGATGCGCTGGAGCCAAGAAGGCAGCTCCTAGTTTATCCGGAAATGTCTGAATATTTGTTGATATTTTATTAGCAAAGTTTTTCATTAATCTTAAAAAGCAACTCAAAGTCAGACACAAGCATCTGAAAAGGTTAAATCTGAAAAAAAGATACATATTTATGTTACTATTAAGATTATTTGTTGCTTATTTGCTCCGACTGCATTTCTCTAATTTTAGGATAACAATAATATACATTTTATAGGATTTAAAAGCTTACAAAAAGTCAAGAACTCTCATTGTCCTTCAGGTGCTTCTTAGCAGCAGATAAGAAAAAAAAAGTTTGCCACAGATTAAATCAATTTTGCAACTTAGTAGTAATTCAAATTATAAACTCTTTTATTTTTGGACTGTCTAATATAAAAGAGAAAACCCGCCCCCTATTTAGGAGGCACCAGTGCAGCAAACAAGTCCAAGCAATTAACTTATATTAAAAGCTGCAACCGACGTCCCTTTTAAAACAAGTAAATAGCAGGTAATTATCTGCTTCTTTGCAGCTTTCATTAACAGCCTTAATAAACTTTTTTTTTTCCACCAGGGAATCAAACGCCGCAGCATGGCGTGTCTATAGTCACAGCCATAATTAAATCAAGCCCATTTACCGTCTTTATTCATGTTCACTTCCAGACACTTTTTCAGACGGCACGCTCTGCATTGGTTCCTGTGAGTTTTGTCAACGGGACAGCCACCCTGCGCAGAGACAACAGGGGAAAAGAAGGGGGAGGAAGGGAGAAAACAAGATAAAAAAGAAGGTTAAAACGAAATCCTCCGGCTATTATCCTCCTAGGAGGCAATCCTCCAGGTAAAAGATCATGCTATTATCTTGCAGTTATGGAGCCCGCTCCCCTGTGGCTCTAGTGCGGCCTCATCCCACATGGATAAGTACTCGATCCCGCCCTCTGCCGCCTTAAATCCTCGCCTGGGAATCATCACATTAGATTGGATTACACCTGATGTATTAGAGCCGCGCTGTGTTTAGGCCGGTACTTAATGGTGCAGGCATGACACAATTAGGCTCATCAAGGTAAATTTAACAAACCGACCAAAAGGAGGGAAAGAGGGAGATATAAAAAACCCGTGCGTAAAATGCGCATTCACTGCGTAATAACATGAAAGTGCCTTTTTTTCAAGAGAAACAGCCATTTATTTAATGTAGAAATTGTTTTACTGGAAAAATAACAGATTCCACTGGATTAATGTGACTGCATATTTACTTCTGATGTGCAAAAAAAAAAAAAAAAAAAAAAAAAAAGTTGAAGGTCTTTTTGAACTCTGAGAGGTCTCCTCACCTGTGAGCCCGACTTGCACACATAGGTTCGGTTCCTCCGGATGCTCCTTTTGAAGAATCCCGAGCAGCCGTCGCATGCGTAAACACCGTAGTGTTTCCCTGAGCTGCGATCGCCGCACACTTTGCAAGGGATGTCCAGAATCCGACCTTGGAGATGCCAAAATATCAGTTGGAAAGCATCCAAAATCAACATTCAATCAAATCCGGTGTAAAGTAATGACACGTGATGATACAGTGATTTTGATCTGTTTTTATGTAGTATTGTGATTCATACTTTTATATTTCATTGTCAAAAAAAACTGCATGAGATAAATTGTGTGAAAAACTTTTTTGGGGGCACACACTGCACGGCCAACCGTGACCATGGGAATTCACTGGAGCATATTTCGGGAATAAAGTCCGGTGGGAAGCGTCATATCTGAGCTCCCTAAGACAATAGCCCGAGGGGCACAATGGAGACATTAGGGGAAAGTGTTAACTTAATGATTTTCCCCCATTGAACCTCATCTGACTGCCTGGATCTCGACAAGCTGCCAACTCCACTTCATAATGGGACTCGACAGCTGCTTTATCCCGCAGGTCTATAGGCCCCAGGATTAGGGAGTGACACTGCACTGCGAGAATAATGCGCACCAACTCGTTTCACCAACTCAAATGAAGTGTATGTAAATCGAACTCAGTGTAGATAAAAAAAAAAATGTGATTTTTTTTTTGGGGTGAAGATTTTGTATTCAAATCTGTTGAAAAAGAACTATATTTGTATGCATATGAGGGGGCTTTTTTTTCTTTGACTCTGAAGGGAAAAGCCGTCTATGTAATTACACTGACGTTTTGCCACCTGCTCATTGATGCACCAGTGACCCGTCAAAAAGGGTAGCATGGGAATAACTAGTGGGCAGCAAAAACAATGACTTCAGGGGAGAGTTATACGACTTCAATTGGCTGTTGATTCACAATCAGAGAGCCGTGGGGACTAGTTATCTATAGCCAACACCGTCCACCTTACAGCCTTTAGGATGGTCAGATTAAATTCTGCTTTTTTATTTTTATTTTCGAAAATATAAATGATTTAAAAAGTCAGTAATCTATCAAAACTTATTCGCTATATTCTTTCTATAATATATAAATAAATAGATATATATGAAACAATTACAAGGAAAATGTTTTAGCTTCAATTTCCATACATTTAGAAAAATCTAATCAAAGTTAGATTTTATGAAACTTTCATTCAGTTAAAAAAAAAAACACAAAACAAATATAATTAGGACTACTAAACCGTAGACCTTTATTGTCAATTTAATACATCGGCGCCGATTTTTGTTGTGGATAAATGGGAACTGTATTTAGTTTCCCACCCTAGGGGTCCAATGCGTTTCTATTGTGCGCACTAATTGCTTGAAAATATATGGCAGATTCTATTAACGTAATAACCATCAAGGCGAAAATAAAAAAATGAATTATATTTCTGGAGAATTTAACGTCTGATACTGGGAGGTAAAAGTGAATCCAAATTACAGTTAGACTCCCTGATTAAATAACAAAACAAAAAACAACATCCATGTTAAGCAGCGCAGCTATTTATTACAAAACTCCCCCCAAAAAACAAACAAACAAGCAATTCAATAAATAAAAAAGAAGCAGAAAAACGAGAAATGTCATTGCATGTATATTTGATTCAAATTTAATGGAGAAACATGTTTAACTTGCTCTTTTTTAACGATGAGAAATTAGATTTTTTTTGCATTATTAAGGCCTTTTGCAGTCATGTTTACAAAAGTTACAAACCGCAATCAAAAGGCCGATAAACAAAAACAAAATCACACATATTCAATCAAAGCGTTTACGTTTCACAGATTTCCAGATACCAAAGTTTAAACCTAATCTGTGCAGTTTTAGAAGGATAATTTAGATAAAATATTTATTTTTTAATACAATCTTTTAAATCCGGAAGATCAAGTTGGCTATAATTTAAACTTAAACATGAACAGAATTGTCATAATTTCTTGCAGTTTTTAAAATATTCTTTACTTATTTACTTGTTTCTATAGAGCTTACCCAGGATGTAAATGCAGGCAACAAGTGATACAAAGGATGAGGTCTAATTCTTAGTATAAGTCCTTTTTTTGCAGTTTTTTTTTCTTTTGAAATCGGGAAGACAAACATTTGACACATAACTAAATCAAATGTAGCTTCAAATCATTATTTATGAATATCTCAAATAATCATAATTCTTGTGGAGAAGCTGTGGTGAAAATTGAAGAAAATGTGCATAGAAGAAAAAACAGTTAAGCAAAGGGGCCCTGCTTAGACTGCTGAATATAGTGGAGGGATGTCGGTTAATTGAGGGGAACTTACTTGATTTGACGTTCAGAATATCCAAACAGCCACTTGTTGAACCAGCGGGTTTGCTCATCATGGATCCTCACTTGTATTTTACAGTCTCTGAATAAAAACTTTCCTTTTAATTTTCTGTTTAATGAATAGAACAGGATCACTGCTAAAGAAGAAACGGCGCGTCTAAAAAGTCCAGTTAGAAGCTTGACAGTTTCCTTAAAAAGCTCCAGAGGAAAACTGAGCGCCTGACTTTCCTCTCAGCACCACCGCCTTCATCACAGCCGGACCCGAACCCTGCATGCAAGAGAGTCACAGCCGGCTATCTGTGACCGTCGCGCTCCGGCAGGTCGGTGCGCATCAGCCTGCGCGTAAAGTTGGACGAATGAGGAGAAAAGAAACCGCTGACTGCGGAGGACCCGCGGAGCGCCTGAGCCGCTGCAGAAACAGAATAAAAAAGTTCAATTTGGCCAAAGAAAAAAAAAAAGTCGAGCTGAATATGTGGTAAACACACCAGGACGCGAAGTGACTTTGTGATGCGAGTCCCCCTGAATCAGCGTCGGTAATATTTATGAGAAGTGTCAAGGGGGGGTGGGAGAGACTGGAGGGTGGAGAGCTGCACTTCCTTCATCCACTTGGCTTTCTACACCAAACTCCAGCCTGACGTCACCGGGAGTGCGAGGGTGTGTGCGTGTTTGGATGATGTTTAAAGGCGATTGGGTGTAATGAATCGAGATGCAAAGTCCCTGGAGGAAAAGGGGTGCTGCATGAGAATTTTTCTAAAATATATTTAAAATGATATTTTAGTGTTTCTTTTTTTTTAAATTGAGAGTTTTAAAATATTTTGACAAACCATCCGTTTTGAAAAAGCAATTTCTCATGCTGTTTGGAGGGAGAAAACCACAGCGCGTCTCCAAAGTTTCCAGAGACAGAATTTGTAACTTCTCTTCTGATTATTTGTTCTTATTTTCAGGAATGCTTTGCGCAACAAGCAGATTTCTGTTTATTAATGGTAAAATTTGGATAATTAGATAATGTCCTTCTGGGAATTGGATATCATCGCACATATATGAAGAGTAAATTTAACGAAAGCGGGACATCTTTTTTTTTTTTTTATGGAAAACAAAATGATCCAGTCCGACAATTAAAATTCACCCACAGCCAATTTGACCCCCTCTTTCTCTCTCTGAGGGGTGTTCCTCAGAGAGGGCGGGTGTCTGTGTATGCACCGCTTTTCTCCCGTTCATGCCTTGTTTTAAAGCCATTGTGAGCTTCACTCTCTACAGTGGTTTTTCCAGCCTGTTGCACTTTTTTTTTGAGCGGGAGTTTGATTCATTTAAAATTTTTCTTCACTTATTTAAAGGCCTTACAATACTGGCTATATCAATTAGTTTACAGCTTGAATTCAAAACTCAAGAGGCCAATAGAAAAAAAGGATTAAAAAAAAGGAAAAAAATGACATTAAAAACCAACAAATCAACTTTTCAAAATAAAATAAAGGATAATGCGAAATTTTGTCTAGATTTTAAAACATATCGGAATGTTTCGCTTTATTCAAAAGTTTTTAAAATGTACATATATTTCTATAGGATATAGATTTACTAAAAATTATAATTAATGCATCAATATGTTATTATTATTATTATTTAGTTATTTCTCAATATACACCTCAATTGTGACACCTTTAAAAACCTTAATTTGACACTTTTTTTTTAAATCTTGTAATAAATTAGGTTATACATTTTTAGACCTTGATAAATTGTGTGACTACTTAAAGGTGCTTATAATTAGAAAGATATCGTTCATATTTAATATGACCTTGTAAATGAAAATCAAACAATCTCAGATTCCTTCTGAGCTGAGACATTCCCATAGTTACATCCCGATCAATCTGGTTTTATTAGTTTGCAGCCCTCCGCTCTCAGTACCCCCTACTGCCCTGATGCGGTTCGGGACCCCTGGGTCCAGGGGCCCTTCCGGACCAAGTCCAGGGGTCAGTCAGCGGGCCTGCATGGAGGGCCGCGACCTTGACAGCTTGCTGCGCCTTCGCTGGATAACTCTGCAAATCCATATTCCGTTTTTTAATTGTGTCTATTCCCACGGTGCACCCAGGGCCATATGGACCCACAAAGTGTCGATCTTAGCAGACAGGGGTGCGGCGCAGAGGCAGTTAATTGCAATTAGGCATTGTTGCGTCCTCCAACCTGCCTTTCAGCTGCACGGCTGTAAGGCTGGAGCCTAATAAGGCTGACATGGAATCACCCCTATATTGCTTTGATTTGCCTGAAGGGACTCGTGGAGAGCTTTAGATCTGAAATGCAACATTAAAAAGCCACATATTAAGATTTTTATAGAATTTACAAAAATAAAACTGCAGAAGAGATCAGATTCATTATATCAGGAATGCTTAATTGATCATTAAATTAGCCAAAAATGAATTTTTAGTAATCAGATTTGTCGGGTATTTCTAAATGTGTGGCTATAGGATGTGTATGTGTGAGTGTGTGTGGGTGGCTGTCGGGGTGTGTGAATGCTGAATGTGTGACATAATCTCCTTAACTCGTCCTAATCCTCGTCATTCACTGATAGCCTTTACACAAATATAACCAACATCATGGTTGCCTGGGCTTCCCTCTTTCACTCTACTTGTATTAGTGACTCCCTTCTCCTCCAGCAGTCAATGAAAACGGTGCTGACAAAGACGCATTGGATTGTGTATCTGTTTTCTCTCTGCAGCTCTGCATCACTATGCGCACAGATACTTGACATACTATAGGATGGACTTTAACTACAAGAGTCCAGCAGAAGTCAGCGCAGAGCAAAGCAGATAGACACCACATGTATGCTCATTAGGTGAATGAGTTTGAACTGTGTGAAAACAGCTTCAAATACTTATAAAAGTCATCAGTTTAACAGGAATAACTGAATTTTAAACGAATAAATCCTTTTTAATTTTTTTTTGTTCAGACTTTTAGCTCAAACATCAAACACAATTACAATAAGCAAAATTGTTGATAACTAACAAAACTATTCTTTTTTAATGTATGCAAATATTTGAATTTCTGGCAGTTGTGATGTGTAATATATATTGTATTTTTATATTTTTCTCGCTCTTTTCATTATTCCATTATAAGTTTCCTTTTCACTTCTTTTTAGCTTAATCATTTAAGCAGAAATCTACATCAAATATGTTTATCAAAAGTGGTGAAAGCACAAATATAACTGGCCAAATATAATATGCAGCAATGGAGCTTATTATTCATTATTTGATCTCTTTAATAACTGGACAATGTCAACATCCTTTTTAGATAATAATTATCTAACAACAGCTACCCTAACAGTTTAGAACACTGCTGTTGTCTACTCAATAAATGTCTATAGGACTAAAACAAAGTTAATAAAAAAAAAATGGCAAACTATTCTAGCCTTTTTTGGGAGGAGCTCCTCTCTGGCTTAACTCTTACCCTCATATCTCTTCTTGTATCAGAAGATCATCTGGTTACAGATTGATAATAGTGCAAAGGTTTGTTAAAATTGTAGCCCCATGTTATGAACTGTCTTGCTTTGATCCATATTTGCTTTCTTTTCTTAAGGACTGCAAGTTTTTAGCTGTGGAACTGATATTTCAAAACTTGAGTTATTTACCATTTTGGATTATTTCTGCCAATAGAGATCACCACCCAGGGACTATAGTTTAACTGCCTTTTAGGGACTGCTATCACAGGCAAGGCCTCTAATCAACCAGGCGTAAACCAATTGGCTTTAAGGAGAAGTCACTAAGCTCCAGAGGACAAATAAAAGGGGGAATTAAAGCCCACCAAAGGCTTATGTAGGCCTCCCTATTTTCAGTAGTCAGATTCTGCAACCTCCAGGTTGTCAGAACAACAGGCCAAGGATGCTCTTGCATGTGCAACCATAAGCATCATAATCAAAACTATAATAAATGACCGCACGAATTAGAAAATTGGTATTAAATATGTTTTTGTTTTTGGATAAGAAAAAAAATAGCAGCATTTCAGCACCATGGAAAGTTCTACAAAAAAAGGGTCATCCTTTGGATGTAAATTACCTGTTGCTACAAAAGTAACCAATTATCTGTGTTACAATGAGTGTTAATTGTGTTGAGCTTTCAAAAAATGTTGCAACTGTCAATATTACATATGTCCTGGAAAACCTTTTGTGCTTTGACTTCATTAACAAGTAATAGAGTTCTGAAGTCCATTAAAAGGTAATAAAACTTTTATATTTGAATGAGTAAAAATGTGATTGTTAATTCTGATAAAAATCATTTTCTATGCAGAATAAAGTTGAACATTGCCAAAGTCTACCTAATTGTATCAGAGTTGCATTGGAGGTTTGATCATATGGATACATTTTGAACATGAACATACTCTGGATTCGGTCCTATGGGTTCATAATAATCATGCCATAAAGTCTTTATAATCTTGTTTCTTTATCTTGTATTTTCTTTATCTTTTTTAATGACAAAATTAAATGTTAATTTAATTGTTTCAGTTCATTGTTGTATGGAAGCATTCAACATGTTTTGAGATTGTGTAACAGAAGGTTATGGAGTTAGGCTTTTAATTTAAGTCAGTGTTGTTTCTCATTGTTTTTAATTAATAAGTGATCAATGCAAACAGAAATAAGCTAAAAAGAAAAATATATATATATATACACAAAATGATATTCCAAAATGCACAGTTTGATATGTGGCATTTATTTAATTATACATTTGCAACTCCAATGAACATTTCACTGTATGTGATCTGTCTTATTACCTCCTTCTAATTGCACAGAATTTAAATTCTTTTTAGTAAAAAATTCTCTTAAAATTGGGTTCATTACTCCAGTATTTTAATCAACTATTTTTAAGATAATGGTTGACTGTTTCAAACTGATAATTTCTCAATATGTTGAAATCTTAAGACCTTAAAATCATAACAAACCTACATAAGACTAAGGTAAACTTTACCACTCTGGGTCTGAGCTTTTTGCATTGTTTTTCTCTTCAGCACACATGGTTTCCTAATACCCACACATATTTTGACAGAGACAAGATATTTCAACACAGCTTACAGATGAACAGCCAGGAATACTACATACTTAATAATAAGGTTACTTCTCAGGACTTTAGTGTAATTACCTAATAATAATGCATTACAAGCTGCAGCTGGAAACAATCAAATGAAGCTCTTACCTGTCTGTATGTGAGAAGTCAAAAGACTGGATTTATATTTTTAGCATTATTTTGCTACAAATTCGTTTTTTATTCACAAATATTTTTGTGTTTTTATATGGTTATGAGTCTACTTACTGACATTAAAGTGCCAAGTATTTGAAATAATATGTATATAATCAATTTTAAAACTGAGCTTAAACCATCATCAAGTTTTTTTACTGGTTATTTTCTTCTTAATTTTAGGTCCATATGTCAAAACATCAATAATTTTAGCTTGCCACCTACTATGAGCAAAAATAGTGAATAAATGTCTTGAGTGTCACTGTTTAAAAGGCTTAGGACAAAAGAAGGATAAAGAGATTTTGTAGTCTAGTTGATTTAAAGTGAAAAAAAAATTA